ACAAACCCCGTTTCTCCAGGATTTCTCTCAAAGGAGCCTGGGGTTGCTCGGAGGCTCCAGAGCAGACCCCGATCCCCCCGCACAGGAGCAGCCCTTTGCCCCTGGGGCAGAGAAAAGTCCTGGCTCTCCCCACGCCACCCCGGTTTCACCCCAGAAGCTGAGCCCCGAGAGCCCACAGCTGGGGGACACGGGGCATCCTCACCTGCGGCCACCAGCTCTGTCCCTCACCACCAGCGAGCACGCGCTGGGTTCCCCCCGCACCCCTGCAAGGAGACGGCAAACATCAAGCGATGCTGAGCAGATGGCAAAGGGAGCTGGCTGGGAGCGGGCAGCCCCTCGGAGAGCTTCCCGCAGGGACAGCGAGGGAGCGGGAGAAGGAAAACACAGCAGAGCCGGGTGACACACAGCAGAGAGCACGGACGCAACGGCAGGGACCCCGCCGAGCTCCGACAGCAGAGGGGAGGCAGACAGGAGCCCATTCTCCTTCCCAGAGCCAAGGGCTGCTCCAGGGCAGGCTCCTGGCTGCCAGGCAAGGGTGAGCGACGGCAGCGGGGCGATGCCCGGGAGGGCCGGCGTGGCTCTGTCTGGCTGCTGCCAGCTGTGTGGGCTGGGGACCCCAGCAGATTTGGCTTCTCAATGCCCTGAGGTGACACTGAGCAGCGCGAACGCCACGGGCGCCAGCCCAGGGACCACGTGTGATGCTCAGGGACGGAAGGGCAGCCCTCAGGGTGAGGTCACCCTGTGTCCCGCGGGGCCGTCGGGTCCTGCTACGGTGCTCGAGGGTGTTCTCTTCGGCAGCCGGGCAGCTGCCTTGTCTCCTTGCCGGACTCTGCTCATTAACCCGTGCTCCCCTGCTCCGTGCGAGGCAGTTCTCCCCTCTGTGGGTGCTGCCATGTCGCTCCCCAGTGAAATCAACGGTCAGACCCCGTTCCGGCTGCGGGGAACAGCCCTGGGCAGGCCAAGGGACTCCGCACCCGGTCAGAAGACAACCAGGGGCAAGAGGGCCTGGGGGCTCAGCCTGAACATCAAGTCCAAGAAGCAGAAGCGAATTCTGGCTGTGCTGAAGCCGGGGCAGATAAACAACCTGGGGGTCACAGCACCGGCGCAGGGCCCACCCCCCACGCAAAGCACAGCGACCGGCACGGGGAGGCTGCCACGCTGTCGCCGAGCACGGAGGGCACTTGGCCGCCTGTCAAGCAAGCTCTTGGCAGCCCCGCGCGCTGCACTGGCACCAGAGCAGGGGCAGCCCCTCGCTCAGCAGCACCCACCGAGACCCCGCGCCCGGGGCGAGAGGACGGAGGGAGCGCGTCCAATTCCGACACCAAGAGCACAGCGGTCTTATTAGGAACGGTCCCACAGCACAAACCGGAGAAAGAAGCAAGCTGAGCAGCAGCGAAACGTCGTCCCTGTTTATTCGCAAGAAACATTTTGTTTAAAAAAATTACTTTTCCTGTTGATCCAAGTATCACTGCAATCAACAAACCTTGTTAAACCACAGTTCAGACAGGCTGGGCAGCCCCTGCTACACAAAACCACGAAGAAAAGATTTAAGAGCAAACTATTTTAAAACTAGATCGCAACATTTGCCCCAAAGATCTTAACCAGTGTTTGAACATGTTAAAGAAGAAAACAAAATCAAGTGATGCTGATGGTTCCTCTAACAGATGTCTCGGCTTTTAACTTCCACACACGGGTAACTTCTGGCCAGTGTCTAATTGTGAAATCATCGCGCATAGCAATGCAGAACCCTTCCCCGGCAAGGTCAGCCCCGCTCGCGGCGCTCGGGCAACAAACCCGCAGCGACCGCAGCGGTGCTGTTAAAGAAGAAAACAAAATCAAGTGATGCTGATGGTTCCTCTAACAGATGTCTCGGCTTTTAACTTCCACACACGGGTAACTTCTGGCCAGTGTCTAATTGTGAAATCATCGCGCATAGCAATGCAGAACCCTTCCCCGGCAAGGTCAGCCCCGCTCGCGGCGCTCGGGCAACAAACCCGCAGCGACCGCAGCGGTGCCACGGGGGAGGAGGAGAGGGCAGCAAGGGATTTCAGCGAGCGCGCGGGCTCTGCGGGCTGGCACCGCGGGCGAGGGCTGCAGGAACGCCG